GTGCCCAGCACCTGTGCAGTGGCGAGGGAAGCCAGGGTTCTGAACCTGCAGAAGGAATGCCACAGCTTCCTGGCAGGTTTGCAGTTTATTCTGCAAGATGGGCCAGAAATTTCACTTGGCTCTAGAGGAAGTACCTTTTCAGGTCCTGTTCTCTGTGGCTACTATAGCTTAGATTGGTTGGAATAAGAAGAAGATTATTGGGGAAGGGTTCCAGGTATATTTTTGTTGCTTAGAAAATTACCTTCTGAAGTTGAACTGAATGAGGACCAAACAGGATTCCTGAGTGGAGTCGTAAGACAGCCTAAGGACTTGGGCCCGCAGGAATGGAAAATATCTGATGGCAAGAGAGTCCAGTAAGACCTGGTGGTCAACAGAAACTCGAGATAACCTGACCAAAAAATGTGGCCACCCCTCTACTCCCTGCTCAAAAATGCACAGATAGCTGATTTTATCTCCCCTCTAATTGCCGATGTTGAAACTGCTGACCCGCATGCTGCGGAGGATCAAGGCTTGACCACTGTGCAGCCTTTCTGGGTTGGCGCCACTCTGCCTCAATAGCACAGACAGGGGCATAGTCGCTATGTAATCTTGTCTAGTAAGGCAGCTGGTCAAGGCAGTCACCGACCCGGAAATGGGAAATTCTGAAAGCCCGCCTTTTTAAAAAAAGCCCACTGTTTCATGCAAGCCCACTTTGCCCCCAACTTATAAAAGCAGCCAGCCTCCAGCCGGTTCAGAGGACCTTCCTTTCCTCTGTGTTGCCTCCCTCGTGCTCTAGCATAAGCTTTAAAATCCATCTGGAAGTTTTTCTGGTATTTCCTCTCTATTTCTATCTTGGGAACCCAAGAACCTCAATGCCAGTAACAGCTGTCCACCTTTGTTAGTAAAATGATTGCAAAGGTCAGAATTGTGGACTCCATCCGGGGAATTGCATTCTGAAAAATTCTCTAAAGAAACATAAAGTTGTCTAGTACATTAACAGGAGATTAGATATTAGTTTCAGGCCTGGCTGCTGGACTTGTCCCTGTGCCTGTATTGCTCTTCAGGCCTAAATTAATTAGCATCTTATAAATAAGTCAATGCTTAGCCATCACTAGATATGCACATGACAGCAGAAAGGAAACCAACTCTGCAGTCTTTTTCAATTGGACTAACTGGGATGAAAGGGGGGGGGGTCCCACAGAAGAATGGCAATTCTTATCCTGGGGGACAGGGAGGGGATGTGAGTGCTTTCTCTCTCATTATCACTTTCTTGTTTGCTACACAGATGACTGCACTAAGCAAGGGAGGGGTCCTGTTAGAGACAGCCTGAGAGGCTCAGAGCTAGCCACCTCCACCCTCAGCTCTGAGCAAGGGCTGGCATCTCAGCTGATTTGCCTGCAGGCTACTCCTTGGTCCTGTGACCTGGGGTATGTTGCCTCACCTTCCTGAGTTTTAGGCTCCTCATATGTAAAATGGGCATAGCTGTAGTTCCTTCTGCAGAGTGTGACTGGAAGAATTAAATAAGGAATCTATGGAAGTGACCGACCCAGAGTAGGTACAACAAAAATGTTAGGCCACTCCTCCCACCGACATGGTAGCTTCCTTTTTCCTTTGACAAAGTGTGGGCAGCAGACCACCTCCCAAGGCGGTGAATTAAAGCACAGAGAGTGAGAATGTTGGCCCCTGAGCGGACTTCCTGTGTTTGAGTCTCTCTCTGAAAACTACTGATTATGTGGTCTTGGGCTAATTATGTAACTTCTCTGTTATCGCCTCAGTTTTCTCATCATAAACTAAGTATAAAAAGTGCACATATCTCAGAGGATTGAATGTGAGGATCACATACTATCATATGGGAGGTGAGCACTCACCGCAGGGCCTGGCATATGTAGTTGATTCTCGGACAACTTGGGGGTTAGGGGCACCAACCCCTTACACAGTCAAAAATCTGCGTATAACTTTTGACTCCCCCAAAGTTTAACTACAATCACCCCTCAGTATCTGCAGGATTGGTTCCAGGACACCCTGTGAGTACAGAAATCCAAGGATGCTCAAGTCCCTCATGTAAAATGGAGTCAATCCTCTGCATCCGCAGATCCCAGCCATGGATTGAGATACTGTTTTTGATCTATGGTTGGTTGAATCTGCAGATACTTATGGGTATGGAGGGCCCACTGTGTATTTGGGAAAACCCATGCCTAAGTGGCCCTGTGCCAAGAGTCCACTGTAGTAGATGCTCAGCCAGTTCAAGCCTTTCTTTTTTTTTTTTTGACTACTTGCAAAAGTTTATAATTTTTTAAAAACTGAGGTAAAATTCACAAAATATAAAATTAACAAGTAACTATTTTAAAGTGTACATTCCTGTGGCATTTAGTACATTCGTGATGTTGGGCAAGCATCACATTTATCTAGTTCTAAGACACTTTCGTTACCCTGAGAGAAAAACCTGTTCCCACCACACTCCTGTTCCCACAGTTACTCTCCACACTCCTCTCTCCCAGCCCCTGGAAACCATTGGTCTGCTTTCTGTCTCTCTAAATTTGCTGATTCTGGATGTTTCCTTTAAATGGAATTATACAATGGGAACTTTTTGTCTGGCATCTTTCTCTTGATGTAATATTTTGAGGTTTGAAGGCCATTATTTTTATTATTACTGCTCTCTAAATAAATGCCTCTGGCTAACATTCCAGAATTATTAGATTCTTTTTTGGAAATAAAGATAAAATAATAATAATAATAATAATAATAATAATAATAATAATAATAATAAAGTGCTTTACAGGACTAGTAGAGCTTCCTTCTCTGAAAGCCGGGTGTCAGATATTTGGGGGCAGCTGGGAGGCAGAGGTGTCTCTGGGTCACTGCACTGCCCCGGAGGGGCACAAATGAGTATCATCAGCATCCAGACTAACCAGGTCCTTCCTATAACATGCACTTATTGAATGCCTGGCTATTTAGGCCACACACATGAACAAAAAGAGATAGTTTCTAGGGAATCTCTGTGTCATGACAAATGAACGAGTAAATTCATATAAAGGGCTCAGACCAGTGTCTGTCAAATAGTACTCAACAGGTGGTATCTATTATTGTTATTGTTATATCAGTGCCTTGTTTCATTGATATTGTCTAATTATTAATTACAGTAGTAGTAAAAGCAGTAGTAGCAAGATAGATGATGAATATAGATATACAGATATACATATAAAGATAGATAGATAGATACAGTCTTTTGGGGATTCTTCTAGTTGTTGTGTAGATCAATTCCAATTATTCATTCCCCAAATGGGGAAATAACTATAACTACAGGTGAGTTCAGGAACACCATGAGACAGACACCTGAATCCCACTGATCATCATTGTGATGATTCATCCCACCCATCATTACAATGATTCAAATCAGACTTCTCTTCACCAGACCTAATGCTTTTTGGCTTATACCAGTCAAATCATTTGCAGGCTAGCCATCTATATCAGTTCTGGGGACACCATGGTCAGCTAGCCCATGACAAAGATCTCTGTGGGTCAGACCATTGATTCCTGACTACTCTGCTGCCCGTTAGTGTAGCCACACCCACCGTGCCTCTGGGAATCAAGTGCAGCCACTTGGTCTCTCTTGTCTGAGATGCCATCGTTCATCTCCCTAAGAAGACTGCCAACAAGGGAAGGACCAGGAATTGCAGCTACACTTTCTAACTTTAAATGAATATTTGAAGGCTCAGTTGTAGATGTCTTGATATTGATATAATATAAATGCACAGTTAATACCCCCAATCTAGTCTTTAAAAAAAAAACTTTCCTCCAAATCAATGAGGAAAGCTGAAAGCCCATTAGAAAAATGGGCAAAGGATATAATTTCCTAAAAAAGTAATACATATAGCTAATGAATACATGAAAAAATATTTAACTCCACTAATAATGACATAAAAATAAGACAAAGAGACACTTTCATCCTTGGGGAAAGCTGTGGAAATCCTTATGTGCTTATGTTTTGTGGCTGGAGTATAGGTTAGTACATAGTTTCTGTGGGACAACAAAGCAATATACATCAAAACCCTTCAAAGTATGTTTAACTTTGATTCACAGTCCTACTTTGAGTATTTATCCTAAGGAAATAATACTAAATTTTATGTGTGAAGATGTCTCAGAGCCAGTTTTATGAGCAAAAGCACAGAAACACCTAAATATTCAACAGTTGGTTGCAATGAGTTATGGTACATACATGAAATGTGCAGACGTTCGGTGGGTAAGCATTTACTGAGCACCTATGTGGTAATAGCACTGTCATAAAATCAAAGAGTACAGACTGCCTCTTCTTTTATGGAGTTTACATTTTAAGTATCGGTGACATAGAATTAAGCAGATAGATCAATTTTTTAAAGCTCGATTGTGCAGGTGCTGTGATGAAAGTTAAAAGGGAGGCATGAAGAACAGTGGCTGAGGGTGGGGTGACTCGAGATTAAGCAGAGCAGGAAAAGCCTGACAGAGGAGGTGTCATTTAAGTAGAGATTAAATGGCAAAGGCATTAGAAATCATTATTATGTAGGCCTATATTTCTTGATATGAAAATATATTACAAACCTTACTTTTGGGGTACATGACAGAGAAATATATCTGAAGGAACTGATACTGATTCAAATGCTTCCCCAGCAACTGGAAACCTGACTAAAAGCTGATTTAATGATAAAGTAATTTCCTGGTTCTTATAACTGAAAAGGCAGGCTTTCCAGGGGCTCAGTACTATCCCAAAGGGCCCGGTTTCTTTCTGTCTTTTCCTTCTGCATTCTGTGCAGCTGCTTTCTCTCTCATGGTTCTAAGGGGACTACCAGCAGTTCCTAGGGCTCTTTCCTTATTCATGTTTGGTAGGAAGTAAAGAGCATCTTTCTTTCAGCAAGCCAAGAAAAGACACGAACTTTAGTCTGATTGGACTGGTGTGGGTCACATGATTATTCCTGAACCAAATTCCTTGGCCAGGGCAATGGACACAAGCTATGAGGACCCAACAATGCAGCTGAGGTGGGGGGAGGCAATCCCTAAACCACCATGCTGAGAACGAGGTAGGGGGAGAGAATATATCCCAAAGACAGTGTGGGGGAACTTTTTGCAGAGGAAGAGAGGAAAGTTCTGTGTACCAAATACCAATTGCTACATACACTAAAAACAACAAAAAGTAAGTAATGTTTGTGTCTTTAAGCTTTGGATAATTGAATTACTGGTGATTTTTTTTATAGTGAAGTATAAACAAGGAGAATATATTAATTTTATAAATACAAGACAACAAAACTCTATTTTTTGTCTGACAAAAAGTGTAAAGACTTTTTTGACCTATAACAACTCTGTGCTTTGACTCTGCTTCTCCTTTGTAAAGCATGGTTCTTGCAAGGAAATCAGCTCTTCTGGCCTTTTCCCCAAGTGAAAGGAAGGCCCTGAGGGTACAGGTGCTTCTGGGGTCCCCAGTGAATACTCAGGCTCCCGCTCCTACCTGCCCCGTTTCCCTTAACAATTTAGCAGAGACTGCTGCCAGTGCTCTTCCCCACTTCAAATGATCTATTTTGGGCCACTGTAATTACTCAGTTGGTGAAGAGTTCTTTTTGGTGACAACTGAGATACCTCAAACTAAGAATAGGGCTCTGACTGATGAAGGAAGGTGACAGCCGTGGGGCCACGAGGAGCTCTGATCCTCTGCCAGGTCTTCTTTAAAAGACCGAAAACTTAGTTTTGTTCTTTGCACCTAGGTTTGCCATGGGTCTGTGGTTTTGCTGTTTCAGGGGTTTCTGTGAAATCTTGTTAGCTACGTTATCACACAAGTCGCATGCGCTAGAGAAGCTCATCAAGGGCCTGAGAGCATGTTCCTTCCCAGCCAGGCTTCCAGCTGGAAGCTCTGGCTCTGAGCTTGCCAGATAATTCTCTATTGTACATTTGGGGACCTTTTCCTCAGAGACTTTTGATTTGAGGCTGAAATGATTTTTGCCTTTTTTTTTTAATTCAAATTTTTGTATTTTCCAAGAGCTTCTGAGAGAAACAAATGAAATTGCCCAGGGTCATGAAGTGGCAAAAAGGTTTTGAAGTTAAAGGGTAGGCTCTGTTCTGCTTAGCTCTGTAGCCCTGGGCAGCTTCAGTTTTTAAAGCAACAGCTTTGTCATCTGTGAAATGGGGGTTTATGAAAACCTGACTCCCGGTGGTGTGATGGTGATTAAATGAGTGTTTGGAAATACACAGCACTCTCAATATCAAATACTAACAAATGGCAGTATTAAATACTAGCCAGTATTATCCTACAGGGAAGAAATTCCATATGCTTCTCAGGAAGTCCCAAGGAATCACACTCCACTATTGACAGCAGCAACCTCAAAAATGCTCCCTTACATTGGTTTAACTGCCTTCCAGGCCCCTCTTCTCTCTCCTTCTGGCCCCCTGGAACTAAGAGAGCTTTGGGACTGGGGCCTGGTAATCGAAAACAAAAAAATGGGTGGGCAGGAAGTCAAGCTAAGACCGAGTGGTCAGAAGAACTGACCAGAAAATGTCACCACTGGTCTACTCCCTCCTTAGAAATGCAGAGGGAGCTGATGTTATCTCCCGTGTAAATGCCGATGTTGAAACTGCTGACCCGCATGCTGCAGAGGATCAGGGTTTGCTCGCTACGCGACCTTTCAGGCTTGGCGCTAATGAGTAGTCTGCCATTTTGCCTGCAGCACAGGCAGGCGCCAGGCGAGGCAGCTGGACAAGGAAGTCGCTGGCCCTGAAATGGACAATCCTGAAAGCTCACCTTTTTTCAAAAAGCCCACTGTTCCATGCAAGCCCCCTTTGTCCCCAGCTTATAAAAGCAGCCAAGCAGAGCCAGCCTCCAGCCAGTTCGGAGGACTTTCCTTTCCTCTGTGCTGCCTACTCTGTGCTCCAGCATAAGCTTAAAAAAACTCCATCTGGAAATTTCTCTGGGGTTTCCAGTCAGTCTCTCTCTTGGGAACCCGAGAACCCCAAGCCAGTAATAGGATTACCTCCTATATAGACCACCCACACATCTACAGGTCCTTGTCTTGGACTCTGCATGGGGGGACCCGGGCGGGGTGAGGTAGCTACAAATGAATAAAAACAGCAGCATATTCTGAAGTAGTAGTTACACTTTTTTTTATAACATTAAGTGTAGTTGTATCATTTGGTCCTATCAAAGGTTATGATACCAATATTGGTAATATGCTGATTTGAGATTATTGGGGGGGATTGCTGATGGCGCCCCATATTCTAGTTTTACCCAGCTAAGCACTAAGGAGCAGACGTGTAAGAGCCGGAGAGAGGCCTTGAAGGAAGCTGCAAAGCTGAAGATGAGAAGGCCTAGGGGGAGGTGCTGATTCAAACCCCACTTCCCACATACCTCTTGTTCTTTCTTAATAAAAGCAGGGAGGACTCTAAAATGGCAAAAATAGAGTTCTGGCAACCCTAATATAAGGGTTAGAAATGGGCAGTGTTGGGCAAACTACACTTATACACTCTACAGTCAATTCTCAATCATTCTTATGCTTCTGCAAGTCGCTCCCTGTTCCCCATTTCTTTGCTTCCCGGCTGAGCTGGCTCTGGCAGCAGGACCATTCCTGTGGTTGTCCCTCCAGTCTCAGCACATTGCGCTAGGACACAGTGAGGACGGGTGGAAGTCTGCTGGTACCAAGGCAATGAGGAAACTTCGGAAGGGACATTTCACATTCCGTACTTGGTTTTGTGTTCTCATCACTGTGACTATAAATTACCCTAAAACTGAACGGTGGAAATAGCCATTTATAATGCTCATGGATTCCAGGGCTCGGAAACTGTGAAGAGGTGCAGCAGGAACAGGTTGTCTCTGTCCCATGAGGTCTGGGGCCTCAGCTGGGGTCTTGAAAGCGGGGGGCTAGAATCATCTGAGGGCCCCTTCACACCCATGCCTGGCAGGGTCCCCATTCTTCCCCACTTAAACCTTCCCATATGGTTTCTCTGGAAGAGGTGGTTTGGAGTCCCTCACAGAAGTCAGCTGAGCTCTAAAGGTGAGTGCTCCAAGAGAGGGAGCCAGGAAGAAGTGACAGCTCCTATGACCTTGCCTTACATCTAATGCATCATCATCCCCACCACATTCTCTTCACTGGAGCAGTTTTAAGACCCACTAAGGTTTAGAAAGAGACTAAATAGAATCTACCTCTTGATGGAGAGAGAGGCAAGGTTCTAGATGCACGTGGGCCTGGCCATTTTGCCATGACGGTTTTGGAAAAATACAGGATGCCACATTTGCATACAGGCCACAAAAGGAGTATATCAAGGTGCTTCCAAGGCTCTGGATAATTATCCAGGGTCTGGTGGAAATCATGCCTGCTTGAGTGTGGTTGATAGGATAATAATATGGGTCTAATAATTTATAGTTTTAATTCAAATATTTTACCTAAAATGTCATATAATGTGCTTGAGTGCGATATTGTTATGTTACAGAATTACATGCTTATGATTTTGTAATAAAAGAGTTTGTAACAAAAAGAAGGGGCGTTATTTGTGCCAGGATCTGTACTCTGAAATAGGAAGAAAAAGCTGATGGTGTTGGGAGGAGCAATGGCTGGCTCCCTTGTGGTAAACAAGGACAGTGGATGGTCTAGCTCCCCTGCAGTATCCCTAAGAGAAAGCCCGGGAAAAGGAGGGCCAAGGGTAGGATCCTAGGTAAAAAAAAGTCACCCGGCACGTCAAAGTACCTTGCCCCATGGTAGAGATTTTAAGTTTCAACAGTTGAATCTTATGATCAACTTGAAGGGCCACGTCGGCCTTGTTGAAAAGGTATGTTCAAAGAGCCCCAGCGACATGTGGGGAAGGGGACAAGGAGACAGCCGGGCGTCAGTAGAGATGTGAGAATCAAGATTGAGTCCCTAGCTTGACCAGTAGGGTTGCATTCCAAGTGTCCCAAGTAAGGGCTTGTGCGGTTAACAGATGGACATTCCGGAGGTGGAGCAGGGATCGCAGGCCTCTGGGGTGCTCTGTGAGCAGTGTCCTTGTGATGTGTGTGTGCCTTTGGCCCAGTTCTTCATTCCTCCCATTTCTTCAGGAAGGGGTCTGAAAGTTGGCCATGACTCCATTAGAAATGCAGCCCCTGCCGAGAGGGAACACGGTTACTTGCCTAGGTTCACTCACTCTGGGTGAATTTGCTGAGTGACTGTGAGACACCAGATGTTGGACGTTGGTAAGATTGTGTCTTACTGACTCCGTGGCCTGGACAGAGGGGGAACGCTAACCAAAGGAGGGAAGAACGAGAGATAAGCAGGGTTTGGGAGTGGTGACCTGAGGAAGCGGGAAGAGAGGAGAGTGAGGCTGAAGCTTCTGCTCCTTTCCTTTTCCTGAGACTTCTGGGCTAGCCCTTAGGGAGGAGTTCACACGAAGTACCCGGAAGAGTTCCCAACACTGACTTGCAGATAGCTTTCTGCTGATGCCATTTAGGGTCTAAGAGTAGAACAGAGTGGACAGTGGCGGGAGTGGGGGGAGGGGGCGCTTCTCCTGTGGAGACCCAGACTTCACAGCCTCTCCCTTTCCTTTAACAACATACCCTCCTCCCTCCTCCCGCTGAAGCCACGGGGCCTGGAGGCAGAACGTCACACAGTTGAGAAATAGTCTCCAATTGCTCAGGGCTCTTTCCTCAAGCTTCTTCCAGATATTGTCCTTGGTCAGGCCTCTCACCTCAACCCTCTGATCAAACACCTTCTTGCTCACACCCACTCTTTCATGCCCAGACCCAGGTGGAATATACTTCCTACACACCATGCACCCATCTGCAGGTAAAGATGGAAGCACAGATTCTGGGGGTTTGGAAGGGAAACACGAGAAAGAACTGGACAAGCCTCGGGCTTAGTACATTCCAGGGAGCAGGGCTCAGACCACCAGTACTATGCTCGCAGAAATTTCCTTCGGAAAACATGTGTCAAGTCACAAGGTGTTGTCACTGTCTTCTGAATTCCCCTGAACAGCAGCCTGTCCCGAGTCATGAACTCCCCTGTGCTCTCTCTCTCTCCCCGCTGCTCTCCCTTCTTCGCTGGAAGGACCTCCAGAAGCCCCGGGGCCCACTGCTTCTTTCAGTATAATGATTCCTGCTCAGGAGTTCGACCACTTCCCCAGCCCAATTCTTGTTTTAGGTATTATCTCAAATGCTGCCTCCTCTGGGAAGCCTTTCAAGGG